CAACACCTTTGCTTTGTTTTCATGGCAATGAATAAACTAGAGACCAAACGGCTCATTTGAGTTTGAATGTTCTCAAAACACTTCATACAGTAAACCTTTCTAATAGCTACTTTACTTGTTTCAGAAATAGATTCACCAGAGCACATACATTACAATCTGCCTACGGTAACACTGATTGAGAGCCAGACAAGAATGAGATCTTAGGGCCTTAGTTAGTTTTCCATTCAAACTCAAGTATTTAATCATGCCTCATGCTGAAGACAGTAAAATTCCCATTTTTAAATATACGAAATAATTTGGTGGTCAGGTGATACACTGCTTCTCCAACTTTTATCATGTAGCTCCTGATGACAAGAAAGATTAAAAAGAAATGTTCAGTTTAAACAAGTATATACAAAATTTCTTTTCTTCTAAAGTTTGTGTCAGTCATATAACCACTTCAAGTAGAACAATGATTTAAGTACAAACATAAATTCACCATGTGTTTATTAATTTATCCTCTTTATTATAATTATCTTAAGAGTATAAGTAATATTCTTCTCTATTTACCAACATAAATTGCTACTTATCCTAAGCGGGTGACAATTTAACCATTACCAAGAAAAAGAATTACCAAGAAAGCAGTTTTAATTTTATCAAGAACTATTCTACCTCTTCTTTAAGCAGATGCTAAATATAAAAAATTTTGAAAAACTGACGTTAGATGTTCTACCATGTACTTGTTTTCCATTGCTTCTATGAGACACTACCACAAACTCAGTGGCTTAAAACACCACCATACAAATTTATTATCTCACAGTTCTGAAGGTCAGAAGTCTGGCACTGGTCTCAGGGAGCTAAATCAAGGTGTCAGCAGAACTGTATTCCTTCTGATAGCTCTAGGGGAAAATCCATTTCCTTGCCTTTTCCAGCTTCTAGAAGATACCTGCCTCTTTCCTTCCTTCGTGAAAGTCAGCAATGGCAGACTGACTCCTTCTCACACCACATCACTCAGATTTCCTCTCTACCTCCCTCTTCCAATTTTAAGGACCCATGAGATTACTTTAGGCAGCCCGGTGGTGCAAAAAGTAAAGTGCTTGGCTACTAAATGAAAGGTTGGCAGTTTGAACCAACCCAGAGGCACCTCAGAAGAAAGCCCTGGCAATCTGCTTCTGAAAGGTCACAGCCCTCAAAACCCTATGGAGCACAGTTCTACTCTGAAACACATGGGGTTGCCATGAGTCGGAATCAACTCAGCAGCAACTGGTTTACTGGTGATGATTACTGAGTCCACTCAGATGGATAATCCAGGATAATCTCCCCATCTCAAGAGCAGCTGATTAACAACCTTAATTCCCTTTTGCCATATGGCTTATTCATCTAGTGCTGCTATAACAGAAATACCACAAGTGAATGGCTTTAACAAAGAGAAATTTATTCTCTCACAGTCTAGTAGGCTACAGGTCCAAATTCAAGGCATCAGCTCCACGGGAACGCTTTCTCTTCTCTGTCAGCTCTGGAGGAAGGTCCTTGTCATCAATCTTCCTCTGGACTAGGAGCTTCTCAGCACAGGGACCCTGGGTTCAAAGGACGTGCTCTGCTACTCGTGCTGCTTTCTTGGTGGTATGAGATGCCCCCCTTTCTGCTTGCTTCCCTTTCCTTTTATCTCTTGTAAAATAAAAGGGGTGCAGGCCACACCCCAGAGAAACTCCCTTTACATTGGATCAGGGATGTGACCTGAACAAGGGTGTTACATTCCACTCTAATCCTCTTCAACATAATCCAATCTTGCTTTATTAACCACAGGCAGAGATTAGGATTTACAACATATAGGAAAATCATATCAATCACAAAATGAAGGACAACTACACAATACTGGGAATCATGGCCTAATCAAGTGGACACATATTTTGGGTGGACATATTCAATCCATGACATCATGTAAAGTAACATATTCACAGGTTCTGGGAATTAAGACATGGACATCTTGTTGGGGGGTGTGTCCTATTTGACGTACCACATATTACACGTCACTTCTTACAATCACAAAAAGTTTTAAAAGCACAACTGTAACACATTATATGGCACTCTAACGTCTCATGTTATCTCTGTAAAACTGCAGCAAACTAAAAATAAATAGAACAGTTCGTTTTTTCCATTTCATAAATGAAGCAACTGAGACACAGAGAGTACTCTGTCCCAAGTCAAAACGCTTGCTAAGGGCAGACCCACGAGTAGCCTCCAGGTCCCGACTCCTATCTCACTGCTCCTCCCAGAAACCACAACGGCCCTCAATCACTCTCACTCCACGAACAGTCGTCCCTCTTGCCACAACTCCATACTCCTGAGAACTCCTCTGTTCATCTTCATGCAGCCTATAATTTAAAAACTCATCCAGTTGGGCTCTATATAATTTCATACATACACACACATGCTCACATGCATGTGTATTTATACATAAATCATATATACTGCATACTGTAACAGTCTCCTGTAACATTTTTTTTAACCAAGATCTTAACTGGGTTGATGTATTACATTTGATGGAACAAAATTAAGTTTCATCTAGTTGAATTGATCACAAGCTAAGGCATGTCTCCTTTATCTTTCTATGGCAAAGGAAGAGGAAGAAAAGAGAAAACATAATCCTGTAACAGGGAATCTCCAAACTGGAAATAATAAAAAAAGAAAACTGGCAGAAATCCCATTACATATTAAATAATTAACTGAAAGTTCTGAATTGAGATGGGAAAATGAGACACAGCTGTTTTTGTTTAAATAGTTCATTTAGATGGCCAACTTTGTTTTAATTATGGTATTACATGATACTACATTTATAGTTGGCCTAATATCTATTAATAAACCAATCTGCTTAAAGACTTTAAGAAAAAAAATACCATCAGATCTATATTTTCTCTTGCATTTACAGTAAATATAGAGGTATCAATAAATCAACATGTAATACAATAGAAAAATTATTTCTAATATCATTTTCATAATAAAAATGAGCAGTTGCCAATTACTGAGCATATACCATACAGATTTTATATATACACATGCAAATACACAGATATTACACTAAGGAGCTTTACTTGCATTATATCATTTAATCCTTTTAACAACAGAAGTATAGTTATTATCCCCATTTAAATAACTTTAACTCCATCAAGGTTAAAAGGTTAAGTAACTTCATCAAGGACTCTGGTCTCTTTGACAATGTGTAAGGGCTTTAAAAATTGGGGTGCCTGGTATACCTGAAAAGCCTGGTTCAGGCTTAGGCTCCCACTCCATTTTGTGACTTCTGCTTCTGCATTCCTGAGAAAGTAACCTTGACTTCTTCACATGCATATGGCTTGAGGCCTCTGGCTGGGTGGAACCAGCTGACTAACCTCCTCCCATTCATATGCTGATGGCTTTGGGCCTCTGGTTGGAGAGAAGTAGCAGACCCTGGCCCCTTTCAATCATCTTGTTACCTCCTTCTAAGCACTACTTCAGAGAGTGTTCCCAACCCCCTTAACCCACATATATTCTGCTAACCAATCCCAGTCAAAGCCCCACTTTAAGATATCCTGCCTTCCACATCACTGATTGCTCACCTACCAATGAGAATATTATAAGCTAAGTTCCTGATTCAACCCTATGACTATGCCCATGTGACTGTAGCTTTTCAGAGCACTGGCTTTTACTTTGTGAGATCTAACGTGTCCCCAGCTCGAGCTGTCTCTACTTTCAATAAATCTCTCTTCATTTTATTTTTAAATAGAGTGCATGTCGTTATTCTACGACAACTCCAACCACTATGACATAATGCCATTGAACCTACAAAATCAAGACTTTTTGAAAATACCCAACTGTTTAGATTTTAAGCAGTAATCTGAATTTTGGGATCCCAAGTAAGATATTCAGTAAGGATCCCCTCAGTCTCTGCACGTAAGTCAAATGAAGCCAAGGATTACTGAAAAATATAGAAAAAAAAGAAAGCAAGTGGCAGGAGTTTTCTCTACTACAACGTCATTTGCTCTATTCAGCTTTTCTTATTCCCAAGAAGCTGAAGAACTGCTCTTTATCAAGGGAATTATAGTTTAATCTTTTTCTTCTAGTAGTCTTTAGAAGGTATTCCACTGTATTCACGCTTTCAATACTGGAAATGAAAAGTTCTCTGCTTCATTTTTTTCCCGCTTTGTAGGCAACTTACTCATTCTGCCTAGAAAACTTCAGTATATATCTACTTTGGTGGGTTTTTCTCATCAATCAGCACGAAACTCCAACATTTTCAATTTCAAAACTTAGCTTTTTCTCTGCTTAGGGAATTTTTTCCTATCATTTATTTAATTACTATCGATTTCTTCTATCAATTCTTTTTTTTCCCCCTTTTGGAACTCCTATCACACATAAGCTTTTAAAATAAGTTGACTTTCCTGGATTTATTTATCTTTTTCTTCATGATTTCCATGTCTCAACATTTTTGCTCTTTATTTGGGGATATTTCTCACATGTGATCTTCCAGGCTACTAATGCTGTCTTTCCTTAATTCATCTATTAAATTTTTACTCTGAGAAAAAAATTAGGTTGTTTTGGCCCACGGAAGTCTTTTCCTTACTACAATTTAATTTCCTTGGGGAGAGAGATCTTTTCTTTTTAATTTTTCCAGGGTTTATCTGATCTCTTAGCATAGTTCTCACTGATGCAAGGATGGAAAATTTGCAGTGTTTTAAAAATACTGTAAATTAAATTTGGTAACAGTAACCCATCAAAATTTAGTTTCACACCAGTTGGCACTTGACTTGCATTTGGAGAATTGATGTTGTGAATCTTGTCCTTAACCAACTTTAGATTACCATCTCTCTGCTTTCCTTTGGATGGAAAAGAATTGCTTCTAAAGTAAAGAAGCCATAAACCTTTCTTTATCTGTTCTGAGGGAACACTATTTCTGTCACAACAAAAAATAAAAACAAACTGTAAACCTTTATTAAAATTATATAACTGTCAGATGATATTCGATATCATCAAATTGTACTTACCAATACATACATCGATTTTCCCTTTAATAGCAGCTTCGTGCAGAGGGGTATAGTTCCAGTTGTCCCTGGCATTTGGATTGGCTCCTTGGCACAGTAACAGACTTACAACCTCAGCATGGCCAAAAGAACAGGCATTATGAAGCGGTATGAGACCTCCATCATCACGAGCGTGGACATTAGCACCCATCTGTAGTAAGTGTTCTACAACATCCTTCCTTCCAAAACCTAAAAAGAAAGCAGAAAAATGTCTTATACATGAAATCAATATTTTAAAAAGAATCATTAGAATTCCCTTAAGAAATATGAACAACTCAAGTACTGTATACTAAAGCAAAAAGAGTAAAAAGAAAAAAAAATGGCTACCATTCAAACTGATTCTCTCATCTCACAGATCACAGAACTACGAAAGCTCTTCCTTTAGACAGTTAATTAAAAAAATTTTTTTTTCTTAAAAACCTATTATGTGCAGGGAAACTGTGCTAGAAATAGAAAAAGAATGATACACATACCCAAGGTACTCATTTTCCCCTCATGCTTCACAAGACAAAATTCTATGTACAAAACTCAACTCAATATTTTTAAGAAATAAAGCTTATTTAAATACTGCTGACAAATGAATTTAAGATAAATGACAACACTAAACGTCACAGTAGGGGAAGTGGAGAGGAATACAAAAATACCAGAAATACGTGGTAACGGTTTGGTTACAGGGGATTTTGAAGAGGAAGAATCAAAGATGATGCCAAAATATCTACTGTAGGAAATGATGGTCAAACTAAATGAAATGAGTAGGTAAGAAGTGAGCAACTGGCGCTTGGAATTACTGAGTTTGAGGAAACAACAAGACGAACAAGTAGAAATACAGGCATTTGGAAATACAGAATCAGAGCATTGGTAAGAAGTATCACAGTTTTCAGACAAAAAAGGGGAAAAACCAGAACCAGAAAGGATCTAACGCAGTATAAAGACTAGGCAGACACTTAGAAAGGTAAGAAGTACCAAAAAAGTACAACATTATTAAAATCAAAGGGAAAGTTTCAAAATAGGTAGTCAACAGAATTAGGCAAAGAAGCCCAGCATGATGAGGATTTAGCAAGATCAATACAGAGTGTAAAAATGGTCATTGATAATTAAAGTAATATTAGTACGGTGATCAAATTATAAGCAAGACTGCAATGGGTTAAAAGGAAACTGTAAATGTGAGCATTTTATCTCACTGGATCTTATTGGCAGATTGTCACTACCACCGTACTATTACCTACTGTGTAATATTTTTTGAAAATAGCATCTTAAATTAAAAGGCAGTAAGAGAGTCATATCTTCCTCCATTTTATGCATATATAGACCAAATAAATGAGTACCACGTCGAAAAAAGTTTTTAAAAAAAGCTGGATACATTTCAAAATATGTCTATAGAAACGTATGCATTCCAGGAAAGCAGGCTCTAAGAAAAAGTCTCCAAAGTAAAGGCGATGTTTCCACAGATAATGTATCTAATGTATCACAAAATCAGAATTAGTTTTCCATGGAAAATATTCTTCAAATTAAGCGAAATATTTTGGGTGAAAAAGCAGACAATTTTGTATTAGTAACTCGAACACCAAAAGTATAGGGTATGTGATAAAGCAATTGTCACCATTATGCTAGTTTTCTGTCGTTCTTTTTTTTAAATACCTGCAGAACTTCATAGTTACTAGATATTGTTTTATTCTCTAACTTCAGTGTCCTTCTTCCTTCTACCATCACAACCCTACTTTTCCACCAGGCCACAGGCACTTTTATTACCCAGAAGACTTCATGATTCTCCTTCTTTCCATGTGAGTGCAAGCTCACATTTCCCTAATCAGTGCTCTAACAATGTTTGAGAACTACTTCGCTTTTTTCATTAACAATCAAATAAAGCTAAAATAAGATACTTTTTAACTTATCACTTGGTATTTAAAAAACATCCACTATCATAACTGTGAAGCAAAATAGTAAAGTGTTTATTTTATAAAATAAATGAAAAGAGCTAGATGCTTCACTACACGTCTACACTATCTCAGTGTGGAAGTATGATGTAATCATGTGGGAGCATGTGAACAAAACAAGGAGAAAACTACAAAAATGAAGTAACCCATGTGATATTATTACAGATGACTTAGTTTTCTTTTTTAAATTCTGTGTATTTTATGTATTCTTTACAACAATAAAAATAGATGCCCTGGATCTCAACTTGCCTCTTTGAAAACTGTTAACATTCCAATTTCTGTTCCATCTATACTTTCACAAAATTATTGAGTATATACTTTTTTATCAAAACCTTTGATCTAAAATATAAAATAAAATAAAAAGGTTCATATTAATGAGAATGTTGTAAATGAAAACTGTGTTCACACATTAACAATATGAGTATAATTAGTATCACATTTTAGGAAAAAATGTAGCAGTTAACATCTATACCCTCTGACTCAATATCACTTTTCAAACTTTATTATAAAAAGTTTGAACAAAGATTTCACATATATGAACAAAGATTTCACATCAAGAATGTTTATCATAGCATTATTTATAATAGAAAATCATGAAAACAATTTAGATGTATAACAACAGAGATTCTATTAAATAAATCATGGCATGTTCATATAATATACTATCATCCTGTATTAAAAAGGATGTTATAGAAAATTTAACAACATGAGAAGGTGTTCTCAGTCTTTTAGAATTAAAAAAAATAATAAAAATTAAAAAGAAAGCACAGGGAAAATACATTCTTATTTAAAGTATAGATGGATAGAAAAAAAGACTAAGTCATTAAGTAGTAGGATTATGAAATGTTTTCCTGTTTTCATATCATATAAAAACAGAATTTTGTATAAAATATAAATGTGTATATGTACATATTTGTATATAAAAGCAGGTGGAGGTTAGCAGCGAAAATGAGTAAAGAGGTCAATTTACTAGATTGTTTTTTTCGATAGTTAATCGATTTGAATTAATTCTGACCAAAAGTAGCCCCTAAGGTATCTTTTAGTTAAATAACAGACTGGCTTACAAAATAAAGAATATTGCCCATGAGTACTGTGCTCCTTTAAAAAATCATCTACATGAGACTAAACTTTAAAATAACAATGAGAATGGAAGGGGGTAGGGAAACCAGATTAATGGAAATGGAACAACCAGAATGGAAATACTGAGAATGTTCACACATTGTGAAGAATGTAACCGATGTCACTGAACAATTTGTGTCGAAATTGTTGAATAGAAGCCTAAACTGCTGTGTAAACCTTCACCAAAAACAGTATTATTAAAAAAAAAAAAAAAAAAATCTGTAGAGTTGATAGCTTTACAATATTGAGTCTTCTAACCCATACGTATTGTACACATCTATCAATTCACATCTTTTATATCCTTCTGTTTTGTGTTTTTCTCCAGTAACATCTTGCACATATTTTCAGGGATTATTGGGTAGCTGAAGGTTTTTGTTGCTGTTTTGATAGAGAGGGCTGAGGTAGGTTACGCGAGCTCAGCAGAGCCAGATTACACGGAGCCGTTAAGAGTTACAACAAGGAGTTTAGATTTTAGCAGGCGTTTGTCAGTCAAGATTTGCCTGCCAACTAATGTGGCTGTAGTACTGTCAGCAGGAAGAATGGGGAAGATGAGGTCAGAAAGACAGGCAAGGACTAGATCATGTAGGGTCTTTATATCAGGAATGCGTTCAGTTGCAACCAACAGAAACATAACTAGGGGAGGCCTACCCCCAAAAAAGAAAAAACCCACTGCCATCAAGTCAATTCCAACTCATAGTAACCCTATAAGACAGCGTAGACCTGCCCTGTAGGGTTTCCAAGGAGCAGCTGGTGAATTCCAACTGCTGACCTTTTGGTTAGCAGCCGAATGCTTAACCACTGCACCACCAGGGGAGGCTCAAAGTAGGGATTTACTTGTGTCACACAACTTGTCTAGGCATAGAAAATCCAAGCTCATACATCAGTTTAACAATGCTATTAGGAGTTGAAGCTCTTTAAAGAATCTTTCCACTCTGGCTTCCTTAGCATGTATAAGCTTTCTTCCACTTACTTGTCACTTCCTGGTCACAAGAGTACTGGTTCCCAAACAAGGGAGAAAGGGCAAAGGGAGAAAGAGGCTTTCTCTCAGCCTTTTTATTACTAAGGAAGGAACAGTCTCCCCGAGTACCTTTATATCCATACATCTTACTAGCCAAAAACATGTCATCTGCCCAGCTACAAAAAGGTTGGAAAATAAAGGTTTTTTTAGCTGGGCATGGTGCTACCATCAACAAAATCCGGGATCTGTTTGTGAAGATTGAGGAAAAAATGAATTTTAGGGAAGATAACCAATAATATCTGCCACAGCTTTGTAAGTTATGGGTAAGAAGTTTGGATTTTATTATAAGTACGTGGGAAGCCATTTAAGGGAAGTTACTTGATTCTATTTAAGTCTTAAAAGGATTATCAGTTAGCTATGTGGAAAACTGACTGGAGAGGTTCAAGAGGTGAATCAGATCAGTTAAGTAAAATTCTTACTGTAGTGTAGGCAAGAATTGATGGTGGCTTGGATTAGGATATTGGCAGTGTAGATATATCTAAGACCTGAGAACTGGGATAGGTTTTAAAGTAAGGATGATTGGCTCCCAGATGTCTAGTTTTAGCAAATCAGTTTATGGATATGCCATTAGGGGAAGGGTCAGGGCAAGCAAGCAGCAATAAAAAGTTACCCTGACTAGAATGTAAAATGGTACAATCACTTTGCAAATCGATTTGGCGCCTCCTTAAAAAGCTAGAAATAGAAGTACCATACGATCCAGCTATCCCGCTCCTTGGAATATATCCTAGAGAAATAAGAGCCGTCACACAAATAGATACACGCACACCCATGTTCATGGCAGCACTGTTCACAACAGCAAAAAGTTGGAAACAACCTAGATACCCATCAACAGATGAATGGATAAACAAATTATGGTATATCCACACAATGGAATATTACGCAACATAAAGAACAACGATGAAGCCATGAAACATAACATGGAGGAAGCTGGAACTTACTATGCTGAGTGAATTTAGTCAGTCACAGAAGGGCAAATACTATATAAGACCACTATTATAAGAACTCAAGAAAAGGTTTAAACACAGAAGAAAACATTCTTTGATGGTTATGAGGGTGGGGAGGGAGGGTGAGGGATATTTACTAACTAGATAGTAGATAAGAATTATCTTAGGTGAAGG